CAGGAAGAGTGGTAAGAGAAGAGGGATAGACATTGCAGGCGGGAGAAAGAGCTTGGATAAAGGCCCCATGGCTGCTGGAGCACTGTGGAGACAGGGGCAGGGGAGGCATTCACATACAGAGCAGAAGCTCCAGGACTGAGGAGGGAAGAAGATCTGAGGCCAGTTACACAACCAGGGACATGGTGACTGCAAATTTCCATGGCTGCCAGAGGGAGAGGGTGGGGATGCTGAAGCAGAAGTAGGAAGAGGGCTGAAGTAGATGCAAGCACCCAGCATGAGGGCCCCTGCTGGCTGCTGATGCTCAGGGCAGGAAAATGTGGGGACTCAGAGATAAGAGAGAGGGCAGGGCTAGGCTGAAGGCAGAGAGTAACGCCTCAAGGTTCCCAGGCTCAGGGAGCTGGAACCCAGAAGACACCATTGCAGCAGGGAGAACAAGCCCAGAGGCCATCTCCCTCCCTCCACTCCCAGGCCCAAGCTAGGTGGGGCAGGCAGACCAGGAGGAGGCAGATGGCTCAAGGGGATACAGTTGCATGCTGGGAATTCTGGATCCCCAAAGGCAGCATCAGCCCCACCTGTGTTGCTGCCTGAGGGGTGTGAAGGGTGCTATGGCTCCCCCAAAAAGTCCCCCTCTCCCCAAGTAATGGCTTCAGACAAGCCTCAAATGCCACTACCAGGAGCCACTCCTGCAGGCTGAACCCAGCTCTGTCCTGAATATGCTTTGTCTGGCCCGCTTTTTTCTGCCTAGAGAAGGGAGCAGAGCCAGTGGGGGACAGTCTCCCACTGGGGTAGAGTCATGAGCACAAGGCAAGGACCCCACCATCCATCCTGGGGCAACCCCAGGGATCTGTGCGGAGGCTGCTTTCCCTCCCCAGGGCCCCAGCATGGGCCACTTGGAGTCCAAGGTGGGTGCCTTTTGGCCCAGCCTCAGTGCCATCTTCTGGGCAATGAGACACAACCCCCACCTGGCAGGTGCGCCGGCAGAATGAGATGCTGCACAGCCCACACATGGGTGCTGGAGAATAGCTGGGTACCTCACTCTGGCCCAGTACCCTGGCGGATGGAAGGGGTACTTTGGTACTTTGATGGAAGGGGGCTTTGATGACAGGGCCTTGTCCAAACTGCTCATCTTTCCTGATCAGGGGGTGCAAGTGTTGCCTACTTGAGTCTTCTGCATGGCCAGCTTGGGGCTTAGCAGCTGTCAATCTTAGTAGCATGCTCTCTGCCACTGTGATGTATGGAACCATTCTTGGAGCTGGGTCCAGGCCTGGGCTCATCACACCTATGACACTGCTTGATCTACCGCCAGTTTACAGATGGTGACACTCTGCTCAGGAGAGGCACAGCTGGAACTTGAACTCATACCTGGCTGACATCAAACTGTGCTCTTTACCACCAAGAGGCCTAGGGTATCCTAGGCAGCTTCCTTTTGCCCACCCCTGCCACCCTTGCAAGTGCCCCCATCAGCCCAGGCCATTCTTGCAAGACCCTGTCTGGGTGGGGTTGTGGGGTGCAGCCCAGGCTGCTGGGTACTCATTGGGAAAGTCTGGATGGTGGGGTGAGATTAGCTCCATTCTACAGATACGGTTCAGCAAGACCAAGTTTCTGTCCTAACATCAAACACACATAGGGCTGAGGGTGTGGCTCAATGGTAGATCACTTGTCTAGCATGTATGAGGCCCTAGTTTCTATCCCTAGCACCGAACAAATAGATAACAATGTGAAAATCAAACACAGAAATTCAGCCTGACTCCAGAGCTGGATCTTAACCATTCCACTTAGACTTGCTGCCCCAAACACCCAAGAAGGCCTCCCTGATCTGTGCTTTGAGCCTGATGGCTTTAGGGAACCACTGGCCTGATCTCTATATACTGACAGTCATGTAACCACACTTGTGTTTAAGTTTAACCTCATCTAATCTCCCTGATGTGGAGGCCAGGGACTCAAACGCAAGGAGATTGTCAAATTGCCACATCTACCCTCATCCCGAGTTGTGCAGTGCACAGTCTGTCCATCATGTCATAGAGCTCACACCTGGGTGCACAGTAACTATATCTGTTCAGTAACTATAATCACAACTACCTTGCAACAGAACCTCCTACTGCTATCAGCCCTTTCCCTATGTTATTTTGCTGAATCTTCAGCCAGCACTACCAGGCGGGTGCTATACCTACGCTTCACCATTCTGCAGGTGACAGAACAGAGGCTCTGAGAGGCCAAGCAACTCCTCTCCCCCACTGGCTTGCCCAGTTAGGAGGGTGGGAACAGATCTCCTCTAGGGCCTTCCTGCTGGGCTGGACCCTGTCCTCAGCAACCTGCACCACCAGGCCTGACCCTGTCATTAATTCAGGTGTGAACACCAGCTCCCACACCTGTCATTAGGAACCAGGGCGACAAGAGCAACGGGGTTCACACCCTGCCCAGGCTCTCCCCAGTTTCAGTTGCTAAAAGGCTGGCAAAACACAAGGAGGAGCAGGTCCCTTGATGACTCTGTTCATGGATCAGAACTTGTGTGATCTTAAACCCTTGATTTCCGGGGTGTAAAGTCCTGACTCAGAGCTCCTGGGTCCCCAGGCTCAGGAGGATAATCCTGGCCTGGGTATTTCCTGGGTGCTGGAGCATGGCTTTTCAAATTGAGTGGGAGACATTTATCACCTCCCCTGCTTTGCAGATGAGGAAACGAAGGCACAGAATCATTCTGTTGAGATAGCAAAGCCAGAATTAGATGTGACAAGCATGTGCTCCCAGGCCCCAAGTTCCTACCCACCTCACCATGCTGAACCTCACTATAGCTCTCACTCACCCAAGACAATGGAGGAGCCCCTAGAAAACTTGCCTGTTATCCCAGCATTCTGGGAGGCTGAGGGAGGATTGTAATTTCAAGCTCAGTCTGGGGACAAATTAATGAGGCCCTGTCTCAAAAAATAAAAAAAGAGTTGGAGATGTACTCAGTGGGAAGGCCCTGGATTCAAACACCAGTACTTAAAAAAGAAAGAACAAAACGGAACAATTTATTTATTTATTTATTTTTGCGGGCAGAGTGTGTGTGTATGGCTCCCTGAAGCCAGCGACTACAGTTTACTTAGAGCCACAGTTAACTTCTGTGATGCTTGCTACAGGGCTGGTAGGCACCAGGCAACACTCAAGAGATTCCTGTTGACAGAACAGGGCACAGGGCTGCCCCACCCCACAAATGGGGTTCAGAAACTAGGCTCTGAGCTAGGAGATCACAAAGGGAGCCCTTGGTCCCCGCCCACTGTCAGGGCTGTGACAGTGATCATCCTCAATGCTAAGGTGACAGCAAGGACACAGAGCCTACACAGCCTTTCACCCATCCTGAGGGGGCGGGTATGGGAATGCTTTCGGGAGGAAAAAACCTCTAAGCTGAGATCTGGGGCCAAAGACCGTCGGTCAAGGACACTGGGTGGCTGCTCCAGCTAGGAGGCTGCAGGACCCCGTGTTCTTGCCCCCAGGCCCTCAGAGTCCTGCTCTGGAAAGGATGGGAGGCCTCCTTCCTCCTCTCCCCACTGGGTGGAGGGGAGGCAGAGGGCAGGCCTGGCCCAGCTCCTGGTGTGTGGGATCTGCATCCTGGGGAGCGGGGGGAGGTGAAACATCACAGTTGTGTGGGGCTGGCACACAGCATCCGATTGTGCAACGCCCTGGAGAACAGCAGGGGGACTGGACCTGACCCCGGCTGGGCCTTGAGTGCCAGCTGGAACTGCCATGGAGGATAATGGTCCAGCCCAGTCTCTGGGGTGGGGAAGTCTCAGAGAGGGGGAGAAGTTAGAAGCCTCTAGCTGCTAACAGCCTCAATCTGAGATATGGGCAAGTGGGATCTCAGGGCAGCAGAGCTTCTGCAAGGACTGGAACTCAGGGGGGGCCAGTGCCCATACTGCACCCTGAGTGCCTCGGTCCCGGGCAGCAGCCCAGAGGGCAGGCTGGGCTGGGTTGCGCTGCAGGGGCACATGGAAACCCTGACCCAGAGCCTCTAGCCTTGGGCTGTGGTCTGGGGTGGGGGTGGGCGTGCCGGGAGCTGATGGAGGGTGAAGTGGGGGCCTCCTACCAAAGGGTAGCTTGCGATGGGCACTGCTGGCCCGGCCCCTACCCCCTGGAGTTCCATAAGGGAGCCCCCATCGACCTCCCAGTGGTGGTGTGGGGGGGGGGCAGAGGCTGAAATCTTGCCCCTCTTTCAATCTCAGCATCTCCATTAGGCTCCCCCAAACCGGTTATTAAGTGAACACATCAGGCTTATCAACGCGGCCGTGGGCTGCTCTCAATGCAAACACATCAAGACATGTCATTTCCTTCCCAGGCCACCCTGGGAACCTGCGGCTCACAGACACCGCCAGTTTCGGAGCTAGGGAGGAGAGAGGAGAGAGGAGAGAGCCACACCCTTGAGAAATCCCGACACCGCCCAGCAGCCCTGGTGCAGAACGCGCCGTCCAGCAGGCAGGGGTGCCTCTTTGCGTGGCACCCCCCTCACCCCGCACGGTCACCGCCTCTGGGCGTGGCTGGAGCGCAAAGAGGCAGGAGCCAGGCAGCAGGTGGCCCTCACCTCTCAACTCCCCAACGCCAGGTGCACCCGCACGTCCTCCAAAGCGCACTGGGGAGCGCCCCCACCTCGCGCTGTTCCCAGGCTCCAGTGCCCCCGAGACGGGCCCCCTGCAGCGCCCCTGCCTGGGGTGCTGCCTCCTTCGGACACTTCATTCCACATCCCGGCAGCGATTCTTAGACTCCCAGCCTAAGAGCGACCCTGGGACACAGAAGTGTCCTGTACCCTCAACTCAGCTGCCCGCTGTCTAACCTCTCCCTACCCCGTAGTGTTCCCTGGGGCTTCTTGGATACCCCCTCTAGGTGCCCCTAGTCAGCTTCAGCAGCGCTTCCCAGCTCCTGGAGGTCTCAAGCCAGCGCTCCCGCGCGCCTGCGACTCCGGCGTCAGTTTCCGACAGCCGGGTGCCCCTAAAGCCTCGGGCGATAGTCCCTGGCGCGTGGGCGCCCCTCACCTGCGGGTTTGCACCGTGGGGCTGTATTTGCCCTTGTTTCTCCTCCTGAAGAGCGAGTTCATGGCGGGGTGCGGGCGGCGGGGCACTGGCGAGCGGGCAGCACGGGGAGCCCCGAGTGCGGGCTGCCGCGGCGCAGGACAGTACTTGCGGGGGGCGGAGCGCGCGGCCTCTCGCTTGGCGGCCGCTCCCGGGGAAGGTGGCGCCTACCTTCCTCGCGCAGGCGGGGCTTCAGCGCAACCCGAGCGAGGGCGGCACCCACGGGACCCAGGGGGTGGGGACGCGAAGCTGGGGCCGGACACCGCCCCCGTGGGAAGCCAGGGGACTCCAGAGGCCCTGTCCGTGCGAGGGCGCACAGGCCTCCCGGGCCAGCGCGCGGCCCCGCCCTCCACGCACCTGGGACCCGGCGCGCCCCCTGGCTGAAGGAGCTGCCTGGTGCTGCGCTGCCCCGGGCACTGTGCGCTCCGCCTCCTTTGGCAGAGACCAGGCTGGTCGCCCAGGCAGGTGTGGCCGAGATGGGGTGTGGAGAGTGTCTCTGCCCCATGGCTGACGAGTTACCCCAAGGTGGTAGCAGTGACGATGGTGCCTGAGAAAACGGGGCTCTGGAGCGCGCGGGCGGAGCTCACCTCCTACCACCACACTTGGTCAGCTGAGACTCCTTTGCAAGGCTTTTTACTGCTCTCAGCTGCAGTTTTCTTCTTTGTCAAAGGGTGAGAACTATGCACCAGCATCTCAAAGGGCAGTGAGGAGATTCCTGCAGATAGTGCACACAAAGCGCTTGGCACAACGTCCTGGCCCGAATGTGCTGGGAGCTTGACTACGCTATCAATCAGGCCATCGAGGCTGGACAAAAAAACCTTTGAAACTTTTTATAACTCTAGGTCCTAGCACCGTAGTAGTATTTCATAGCTGGCCATAAAAGTTGCTTGGTTCTGGTTCATAGTACCCGCATTACATAGTTCTGCCAGCATAGGGGTGGGGGTGCGCTGGAGGCAGCGGCTGACAGTGGGGAAGGCTGCAGTGGGACAGACGGAAAAGGAATCTGGGTAGAAGCTTCCGTGTGGGGCCAACAGCTGGAGGCCTCAGGCCATTTGGAACTCAGGGTGGATGGAGGGTTCTGACCCCCTGGGATGGAAGGGCAGGCAGTCTCCAGGGAAAACACCAGAGGCCGCCAGATACATATGCCCAAAGGGGCATTAGAGCTTTGGCAGGGAGCAACGTAGCCTTGGGGTAGTGGGGAGATAAGAGCCCCAGACAGGGTGTCCAGAGTGCTAGATTCGATTTCGACTGTCTGGATCTTCAGTCAGTCCCTTGCCCACCTGTTTATTATTTATAAAATAAGGAGGTTGAAAGCCATGCAAGGTGGTATATCCCTGTAGTCCTAGCAGTGTGGGAGGCTGAGGTAGGAGGATCACAAGTTCAAGGCCAACCTGGGTAATTTAGCAAGACTCAGTTTTACAGTTAAAAAAGCTGGAGATGCAGCTTAGTGCAAAGACCCTGACTTCAAGATCCAGTACTGAGGGACAAAAATGTTGGTGAGGAATTGATTCCTAAGGACTTCCTACTGCAGGCCCCAGATATCTAAGGCTACTCAGTGTCCTTCAGGCCATCTCTTGCCCCTGACTCTGAAGGATAGTGATTTCCAAGTATGGTTAAGGGCTTCAAGAAAACCTTATCCTTTTCAGGGCCTCTGAGGGCTGACTTAAAGGATGTGATTCCTCCCAGCCACTTCCAAATGCATTTTTCGGGGGCAGGGTTTCGGTGGAAGACGTTTGGTACCTGTCCTGACCCGGCGTGCCTGGCTCTGCTGATGGCACATTGATGAGGAAGATGAAAAGCCAGAACACAGGAAGAGCTTTTCTCTTGAGTGACCTGAATTCAGTCTTGAGGAGGGAGCACTTTGTGTGTGTGGTACTTGGGACTGAACCCAGGTCTTCACAATGAGCTATACTCCCGGGACCCTGTCCCATCCCCGCCTGTAAATTTTTTGAAACAGTGTCTTACTGAGTTGCTAAGTTGCCCAGGCTAGACATGAACTTGGTGATCCTCCTGCCTCAGCCTCCCAGGTGGTTGGGATCACAGGTGAACACCTCTCTGCCCAGCTGGGAGCACATAGTATTCAAAAGGCAAAACCCATCCATGGTTTGACTTTTTGAAGAGAACTGGGGAACAGTGCAGGACTCTCCCACCCAGAGGCCTTGGTCCTAAAGTTGTTGTGCATAAGAATCTCTGGGGGTGGGGAAGTTTGTGAAATGCAGAATCCAGGGCCCTGGCATCCTTGAGGTCCTGCCTGAGGAGCCTGGGAAGGGACCCAAGAATCAGAAGTGTTAACAAATCCTCCTGCCACCTAGCTGAGAAGCCGGGAGAGAGAGATCCTGTCTGCAGCCTCTCGGCGGAAAAAGTTACCCAGGAAACCTACCCTTCCCTGTCCTGGCTCCCTTCTCTCGGCTGCCCTAGGCTGGTGTTCCTTCCCCGGAAGTAAGGGCTAGAGCAGTTCCCTTGCTTCTACAGTGACTTCCCTTCCGAGGTCTGGGCTCCAAGGGTGGTGGGTCCTCCAGGGTTCTGGCCTTGGAGGTGTCAGAGAGAAGCCAGAGTTTTAGAACTCAGGTGTGTGTGGTGGAAGTGGGGGGACCTGTAACCATGGAAACCTGAGCTCCAGCCATGCAGACCCCTTCCTCACAGGGAAGCTGCACAGAAACTCTGTTGGTCCTGCCTGTGCCCCTGCCCCTGCCCTACACCCTCCCTTTAGTCTCCTTTATCTCACCCTCCAAGGGAGCTCTGTAGCCCACATTCCAGCACCGTGACCCCATTGCTGAGGAGGAAGCTCTGGAGCGCACCTGCAGCCACGAAAGGAGTTGGTTAAAAAGCCCAGGGTGGGTGCATATGGGGAAGATCTCACAGCTGGAAAAGAAAAGTAGAAAATTGGACAGAGGACCTACTCAGGGCAAGGGCCAGAGGTTGAGTGCAAGGGAGAGCAGGGCTGGTTTGTGTTGGACAGAGAGAGGGAGAGGGAGGAGGGGGGAGGGGGGACGTGTAAGATATGCTCTTGTATGCACAGACACTTCTAGAAGGACCCAGGAGACGCTGTTAGCTGTGTGTCCTCTCAGGAAGGACAAGAGAGAAATAGTTTTCACTGGGGAAGGCAGGCAGATGCCTAAACAGACCAGGTTTGAGGCCCTGCTCAGCCCCTTCCAGTCATTTTGCCTCTCTAAGCCTCAGTTTCCCTCACTTGTGAAGTGGGCAAGTCGGGTGTCAGCTCCATGGGGTGAGATGCTGCGAGCGAAGCAGCTAGCAGGGCCTGGTGGTGGGAGGGGCCTTAGCATCTGCAGCTGGGAGATCTTTGCTTCTGCGCCCTCTCAGGGTACCCACTGCACTGGAGCTCCGAACATGGTCAGAACACAAGGTTCTGGGGGCTCTGATGCCCCCTTTCGCACAGCACCTGGGAAGGTGCAGATGGGCTTGAGGAAGGAAGCTGGGCCAGCTTCCCCAGGTCAGCAGGCCTGCAGCATAGTGATGACACTGATAGTGGTGATGCCATCTCTTGTCATCAAGGGTAAACTCTGCCAGGCAACACGGCAGCTGCCCAATGCAGCTCCACTGATTGGATCTGCTTTGCACCCCCAGCCCGGGGGAGGGAGTCAAGTGGGCCAGGGCCCCTGTCTGAGAGGTAACCAGTCTTGGTTTAGTCTCTCTTGCAGGGAGCCTGGCTGTCAAAGGCACGGTGCCCAGCTGGGCTGGTGCTTGGTCAGCCTGTGCCCTGTGGGTGCTCTGGCCCCCGCCCCCACCTGCAAGGGGAGGGGCTGCTGGGCCTGTGCTGACTCAGCTGGGCCTGGCCCAGGGCTGGTGGAGAGAATTAGCAGATTTGGGGAGGAGTCCAGCTGCACCTCCCCATCCTCCCCTGTCCATACTCCGAAAGCTGGGCTCAGAGCTGGTGCGTGTGTGTTCGGGGGTGTGGACACGTGTACATCACACATCCGTGGGCAGGCCAGATGGGGTGGGATCTCTGTCCTCGCAGCGCATCCTCCCCTGGGCAGATAGGATTTGTTCCGATCCGAGGAAGCCTTTCCTGCCCAGTGACTCATCCCCTCCCTGGCCTTGGAGGTGGGGCCCAATGCTCCCCCATGCTGCCCAGGAGGGTGTCTGCTCTCCTGGGTTTGCTGGATGACCTGGTTAACTCCTCAGAGATGGCACCCGCAGGGCCATCCCAGCTCCTGGCAACACGGTGACCCTCAGCCCCTGAACTCTGTCCCCTTCCTGCAGCCAGATTTTCTGAAGGGTCACACAGCCCTCCTGTTTGCTGTCATTGTTCCCCAGCAGCTGGAGAGGTGCTCACTTGGGGTTAGCCAGCAAACCAGTTTAAAACCAGAAGGGTGGCATTCCCCCAGCTCAAAGAGGAGAGGGCGTGCTGGAGGGCGTGGCCTGTTCCTTACGGGGGCGGGGCGGACCCAGTGTTCTTCTGGTCTCCTGTGGAGGCCCAGGTTCATCCTCTGCAGACACCTCCCATCTCCAAGTCTGTCCTCAAGCCCACTGGGAAGCCTTTTAAAAAACGCAGATCCAAAAAAAAAAAACAAAAAAAAAAAAACCGCAGATCCCAGGGGCCTTCCTGAGATTATGGTTCTGTGAGTATTGGTAGAGCCCAGTATTTTTGCATTTTGGAAAATACTTGTCCCATAGAATCTCTGAGACATGCAGAGAAACACAGCTGTGGACAGAGACAGACAACTCCGGGCCTGGCTTCCACACAGCTGGGAAAAGGCCAAGCCTTTAGCCCGAAGCCAACTAGATTTGAATCCTGGCTTTGCCGTATACCCAGCTGTGTGACATTAGGCAGGTGGCTTAACTTCTCTGGATCTCAGTTTCCCCATCTGTAAAAGGGGAAAGAGCCAGTGTGTAGTGAGTGTGCAGAACACTGAGGCCTTTGTCCTTCTGCCTTCCATGGGGGCAGAGGGGGGCCTGGCCTAGTTTCACCCTGTGTTTTGTAACGTGTTTACTTTTCTTGCAGGACAATGCAAAGGATGGAAAATCGTGCTGGCCCTCCAGCGCACACGGGCTGAGTCACTTGGGCTGGGCGGGGGGCCAGTGAGCTCCCCCCAGCACCCCCCTGGGACCAGAGAGGAGGCCTGGCGCTGGCAGGGGACGGGAGAGGGTCCGAGGTGACTCACATGTTCTGCCTGCCTCTGAGTCATCCCAGGAAAATGTGCCTTGGGACCCCACCCGCCTGGGCCCCTGAAAGCCTACTCCAACCTGGTTACCTTGCCCTGCCTACAAGGCAGCCCCTCCCTGTTGCCACTTCAGGGAGTCTTGCTCCACTGACACCCTGCTGGCCCTTCCTAGATGCAGTTGTGTTCCTGTCAGGTCTGTTCTCGAAA